TGGTGAGGCTGGCACACATACCTCTGCAATACTTCCTGTCTGGCTCTCATCTACAACCTGCCCAGAAGAAGAAGTCCTTGTGTATGCGCTACTGGACTCTCAAAGCGACTCAACCTTTATTCTAAGTGAAGTAGCTGACAAGCTGAAAGCCAACAAAGAACAAATTAAGCTCAAGCTCACTACAATGACTGCAACCTCAACAGTAAACTCCCAAAGAGTGAACAATCTACAAGTCCGTGGCTTCTACTCACGAAAGAAGATCTCCCTACCACCAGCCTATACAAGGGAGTTCATTCCAGCCAACAGAGCTCACATACCTACAAACGAAAAGGCAAAAGCTTGGTCCCACCTGGAACACCTTCAGGAAAAGATCTCACCTCTACTGGAATGTGAAGTAGGCCTGCTCATCGGGTACAACTGCTCACAAGCACTTCTACCAAGAGAAGTTGTATCTGGCAAAACAAACCAGCCCTACGCACAACGCACAGACCTTGGATGGAGCATCGTGGGGTGTAGAAGTCCCTGTGTAGACTATGGAGCCGCCATCGGAACGAGTCATTGTATAGAAGTGAGACAAGTGACACCAGATGTTGAGTCTTCTATCAACCTCCGAACGGAAGTACACTATATAAACCGATTCAAGGTGAAAGAAGTGACCACTTCAGAAATCATTAAGGTCCTCGAGTCTGACTTCTCAGAAAGAGCCAAGGAAGATAATCCGATCTCACAAGACGATATGAAGTTCCTGTCAAAGCTGAAAGAGAACATCACACAAAAGGAGAACGGTCACTACGAGATGCCCTTTACCATTCAAAGAGGAAAGACCAGAGCTACCTCACAACAAGATACAGGTGCTGGTCATAAAATTAGAATATCATGAAAAAGTAGATTGATTTCAGTAATTCCATTTAAAAAGTGAAACTTGTATATTATATTCATACATTACATACAAACTCATATATTTCAGATGTTTATTTTGTTTAATTTTGATGATTACAAATGACAACAAATGAAAATCTCAAATTCATCATATCAGAAAATTAGAATATTGTGAAAAGGTTCAAAATTGATGGCCCCTGGTGCCACACTCTAATCAGCTAATTAACTCAAACCACCTGCAAAAGCCTTTAAATGGTCTTTCAGTCTAGTTCTATAGGCTACACAATCATGGGGAAGACTGCTGACTTGACAGTTGTCCAAAAGACGACCATCGACACCTTGCACAAGGAGGGCAAGACACAAAAGGTCATCGCTAAAGAGGCTGGCTGTTCACAGAGCTCAGTGTCCAAGCACATTAATAGAGAGGCGAAGGGAAGGAAAAGATGTGGTCGAAAAAAGTGTACAAGCAAGAGAGATAACCGCACCCTGGAGAGGATTGTGAAACAAAACCCATTCAAAAATGTGGGGGAGATTCACAAAGAGTGGACTGCAGCTGGAGTGAGTGCTTCAAGAACCACCACACACAGACGTATGAAAGACATGGGTTTCTGCTGTCGCATTCCTTGTGTCAAGCCACTCTTGAACCACAGACAGCGTCAGAAGCGTCTTGCCTGGGCTAAAGAGAAACAGGACTGGACTGCTGGTGAGTGTTCCAAAGTCATGTTCTCTGATGAAAGTAAATTTTGCATTTCCTTTGGAAATCAAGGTCCCAGAGTCTGGAGGAAAAGAAGAGAGGCACTTCATCCACGTTGCTTGAAGTCCAGTGTAAAGTTTCCACAGTCAGTGATGGTTTGGGGTGCCATGTCATCTGCTGGTGTTGGTCCATTGTGTTTTCTGAGGTCCAGGGTCAACGCAGCCACATACCAGGAAGTTTTAGAGCACTTCATGCTTCCTGCAGCTGACCAACTTTTTGGAGATGCAGATTTCATTTTCCAACAGGACTTGGCACCTGCACCCAGTGCCAAAGCTACCAGTACCTGGTTGAAGGACCATGGTATCCCTGTTCTTAATTGGCCAGCAAACTCTCCTGACCTTAACCCCATAGAAAATCTATGGGGTATTGTGAAGAAGAAGATGCAATACACCAGACCCAACAATTCAGAAGAGCTAAAAGCCACTATTAGAGCAACCTGGGCTATCATAACACCTGAGAAGTGCCACAGACTGATCGACTCCATGCCACGCCGCATTGCTGCAGTAATACAGGCCAAAGGAGGCCCAACTAAATACTGAGTGCTGTACATGCTCATACTTTTCATGTTCATACTTTTCAGTTGGCCAACATTTCTATAAATCCTTTGTTTTTATTGGTCTTCAGTAATATTCTAATTTTCTGATATGATGAATTTGAGATTTTCATTTGTTGTCATTTGTAATCATCAAAATTAAACAAAATAAACATCTGAAATATATGAGTTTGTATGTAATGTATGAATATAATATACAAGTTTCACTTTTTAAATGGAATTACTGAAATCAATCTACTTTTTCATGATATTCTAATTTTATGACCAGCACCTGTAAGTACAAAGCCTGAACAGTGGTCCTATGTTGCTTCTGAGGACAACCCTGCAGATCATGCCTCTCGAGGTTTGACTGCAGACCAACTAAAGTTCTCAAACTGGTACACCGGCCCGAAGTTTCTTTGGCAAAGAGGTCCACTGCAGAGAGAATGCAAGGTAGGAGAAGTCAACGAAGATGATCCCGAACTTCGTAAGGCTCTTGTGTGCAATACTGAGACAAAGGAAGAGAGATCTTTATTAGACCACCTGAAGAAGTTTTCAGACTGGACAAGAGCTGTAAAGGCAGTTGCAAGATTACAGCGAATGGCCAAAGAACACAAAGGTCTGAAGCAACGCACCAATGAAAGTACAAGCATCGAGGAAAGGAAAGAAGCAGAGCTTGCCATCATTAAGCTAGCTCAAAAGGAAGCATTCCCAGCTGAGATCAAAAGACTCAAGCAAAAGCAGGAAATTGTCAAGACCAAAGAAAGTAAGCTACAGAAGTTAAGCCCCTTCCTGGATGAAGAATGGATCCTCAGGGTGGGAGGATGTCTAGGTCAAGCTGCACTACACCCACACATAAAGCATCCAGCAATTATTCCACAGAAAAGCCACATATCGTCCTTACTCATCCAGCACCACCACGAAAAGATCCAACACCAAGGACGTGGAATGATAACAAACGCACTCAGAGCTAATGGATGTTGGATCCTGGGATGCAGCAGTGCTGTCTCGTCACACATCTACAAATGTGTGAAGTGCCGAATGTACAGACGACGCACCGAAGAACAAAGAATGGGCGACTTACCTCAAGATCGAATGGAAGCAGCTCCACCTTTCACGTACACTGGAATGGATTGCTTCGGCCCAATCGGCATTAAAGAAGGAAGAAAGGATCTCAAAAGATATGGACTCATACTTACCTGTCTATGTTCAAGATCCATTCACATAGAAGTAATCGACGATATGACAACCGACGCATTCATCAATGCACTCAGATCATTCATTGCCATCAGAGGAAACGTTCGCCAACTGAGATGCGACCAAGGGACTAATTTCGTTGGTGCAAGGAGAGAGTTTGCAGAACTCATGAAAGGAATGAATGAAGAGAGACTGAAGGCTCTAGGATGTGAGTTCCTCATGAATACTCCTGCGGCAAGTCACATGGGCGGCATATGGGAGAGGCAGATAAGAACGATAAGGAGCATCTTGACTGCAGTTCTGGACCAGTCTGCACATAGGCTCGACAGCACCTCTCTCCGGACTTACCTGTATGAAGTCATGTCCATCATCAACAGCCGGCCACTTACCGCTGAACATCTGAACGACCCATCTGGACCTGAACCACTAACCCCGAACCACATTCTGACTATGAAATCAACAATCATTCTTCCCCCACCTGGACAATTTGTCAAGCAAGATCTCTATCTACAAAAGAGGCGGCGCCGAGTCCAGTATTTGGCCAATGAGTTTTGGAACAGATGGAGGAAAGAATATCTTCTCAACCTGCAACAAAGACAGAAGTGGTGTAAAACCAGAAGGAACTCAAAAGTCAATGACATTGTCCTTCTCCATGACGAACAGACACCACGCAACAAATGGAAACTAGCAAGAGTCACTGAAGTCTACCCAGGGAAAGATGGTAGGGTCAGAAAGCTGAAGCTGCTAGTTAGCCACACCACATACGATAGCAAAGGGAAAGCTACAACGAGTAAGGTGTATTTAGAGAGACCTATACACAAAGTTGTTACTTTGATAGAAGCAGATTAGATGCAATACGTGAGTTTATTTAGCTTACCTTTGAGAAATATCCTTTGATGATATGATATGGTACCTGCTATAACTCTAAGAAATCCCACATACTGTTAGTTTGTGTAATTTGGTGGGAGTGTAAATGTATCCATGATGATGCAGACAGTTTATTGATATAATTCATTGATATTGATATATGTATATATAGTTATTTACATTTCATATTAATTATTGTAAATATGATTGTATCTTTATATTGTTTTACTGAGTGACACATGGTTTGATTTATTTATGATTATTCTCATGATTATATCTACAAGCTTGTTCTTGCGCTGTTTTGAGAAGACGTTATTTCACCAACGTCCGTCTTGGGTTACCATGGAAACAAACACCAACGCCCGTCTTTCATGGAAATCAACGGAGGTTTTTCACATTACTCACAAACATTATAAGCTGAAGTTTGTTGAGTAAAAACCAAGGACAGCATCAAGGACTATCAAGGACTATCACCTTTTTAATTCATGGATAATTCCCTCATTGTGGCATGCAGCCAACGAGGTATTTTATTATTTTTATATAACGTTACATTGTTTCATTCTGTTGTAAGCCAGCTACAATGTACACTGTGTGGTTTGATGGTAGCTAATTAGTTAATTGTATCAACTGTATTGTTCTGTACAGTTTTCACGGTGCTAATGAAGATTTGGAGGCTTCATTAAATCAGTTCAAGAAATCCATTTGTGCTCGTCGTGCCTGAGGGGAATTACAAATATCAAACCATACACTTGTAAGGTTATATCAACTCACCTTTTTGTAGGAAGATGTGCATTTGTGATTTGCATAGGTAATGTGATCTTTGCAGAAGATCTCCTGACAAGCATCACATCTCATTGGAAGAAAATCTGTATTAAAAGACAGTATTTTATAGGAATCAGATTAAACAAGTTCAACAAAAAAAGGATAATACTATATCAGATTGTACTCACCTAAACGTTTACAGGTATTCTCAGAGCAGTGCTCTCCCAAATCAGGAAACTCCATATTTAAAGGTCCTCTGGTGTAAATTAAAGGTTTCAATGCTAATAAAATAAAGAAATAATAAATTAAAAAATTAATAAGAACTCAATCAGTTAGTTTTTAGGACTGGTCCATTTGGAAACAATAGGAAAGCTTCCCCATTAGTCATGAGTCACAACATTTTGAGTCTAAAGATCAACAATGAGTTTGCTAAATTATTAGCAAGCAGGCTAAGCTAACTTCGATCAGACACAGAGACAGATTACGTAATGAACAATTGCTTACATTATGTAGTACTATATTATACAAAAAGGCAACAAAAAGCTTCAAAATGGTAATAATAGACATTTTTTTCGCTTTAAGTAATAGATCTGTATTATTTTTTAAATTACAAGTTAGGACCAGAGCTAACACTTTATTTACTCAAAATTATACATAACTACAAAGATTTTTGTCAACAATTAAAAAGAAAAAACAAAAGAAAATTGTATCACTCTCGCTAAATGTCTTGAAAAAAATAATCTTGGTTATTTATTGTGTATTTGTATTCTCCCTGGTGGCTACTTTGCTATGCTAACAAGATGAACCGCTAACCAAAGCTTTTAGGTCAGGTTTACTCACCAGATTCGGCTTTCTTTTCGGTCTTTGGTCTCAAACAAAGAAATTCAATATATTCTCTCAGATAAATAAGGTAACTCTGTTTTGTTTTCCGATAGTTTTATTCCGTAGGTTCGTTGACTCCTGCTGCCTCCTTTGAGAAGCTCTTCACCTGTTTAGCTGTGTCACGTTCGCGTAGTGTCCCTTTACGTCAAGACGCCGGTGATGTCATAATTTTACGTGTGGAAGGCGTGGTTCCAAAGGCGGTCTTAGAAATAACAGGAAAACTCTGGAATAATCCAAACAGTATAGTCATGCTTATGATGTTTCCCTTTCCCTTTATATATATATATATATATATATATATATATATATATATATATATATATATATATATATATATATATATATATATATATATATATATATATATATATATATATATATATATATATATAAAGAAAAAAGCTAATAAAATAAGATAGATAGATAGATAGATAGATAGATAGATAGATAGATAGATAGATAGATAGATAGATAGATAGATAGATAGATAGATAGATAGATAGATAGATAGATAGATAGATGTACTATACTTGACTTTTCCAAGGGTAGCTCTAGCACCCCCTAGCGTCCTTCTGCTCCCACCACTAAATCCACAGTGGTAAACAGTTCAAACATTGCATTTTGCCTTTGAACTTTGCTCTATTTGCACACTATGGGGAATCCTGTTATTGTAGATTAATATCAGTCAATGTGTTAGTGTCAGACTTGTCAATCTTGATAGTATTCTTTAATTTTCTTGACAGAACATAAAAATATTCAACATCTTATACTCATCTCATGATCTAAAATTCAAAAGATTAAAAGCCTCCCTTATGAAAACAAGTAAATCCTTATTTGCATCTCCATCCTTTAAAAAGGAAGAGCAATATAAACTAATGATACAATAAAGATCCCTCTGCTTGTCAAAATTTGGTTTTCAAGCTATTTTTTCTTTTTTCATTTAGGTAATTGCACTCAGCAAACTGAGTTTACCTATTTTATAGCTCATTCTGCTAAAACATATGCTCTTACATGTTACACAACAGTCTCAGTGGACGTTTTTAGGGCAATTTTCCAAGAGAAGATATTTGCTTATAAAGTATATATTTCTTTTATTCAGAAAACTGCTTTCTGTAAAATACCCACCTAACTAATTTCTAAGGCTTCTCATCTTATACTTCTTGTTGCTTAATGGTCGACTGATTCTGTTGTAAGGACACAAATTGAATACAAAGATCTCATACATGCAATACGTGACATAATAATGAGATAATCTGTTTTTGTGCAATGACTGTATTGTTTAAGAGTGGTTAGTTGGGTAGCAGTTAGGACTGCTGCCTTCTAGCAAGAAAGTGTTGAGTTCAACTAACCGTCTGGGCTCCTGACAGTTAGTTGAACTGCGTTCCCCTTTAATGCTCTGGCAACCTAATCCAACGCTCACCCAAAAAAAATGGGTCTTGACAATGAATAACATCAGTACGCCGGTTAGAAATTTTACTTTTCACTGGTTCTTGACTATTCTCAAATTAAATCCATACATAATATAATAATGCATATAGTTAGCTGGTCTTTAAGCTTCTTGGATTTCAACCTTGTGCTACAAGGGATTGTTAATGGCCCATCAGCTAAAGAAATATTTATCTGCTTTCTATCCATTGAATAATTGAACCCACAATGAATATTAGAAAGTACAAAAGTTCAAAAGAACAGTTATTACTCACTTTTATTAAAAAGTGTGATAGAGTCATATAATTTCAATCTCCAAGTCAAACATTAATAATTCAAACTCAGGTCAAATAATCTAATAAAAATTTCCAAAGAATGTGTTTAGGATTGGACTTTTCTCTAAGACGAGCATATATACTGCCGGTTAAAACTGATTTCCCATCTGCTTTATATGGAACACAGGTTAACACTTACTGGTAACTTAAATTGACTTATAAAACAACCTTTTTTTTCCCCCTACAGTGCTTAGAGATGGCTTTTATAGGTTTGACCAGGTGATGGCAGCACTAGTCCTTTTAAAGGCTTGGGGAACTGAAGAACTAAAAGGAAAAAGGATCTTAACATAATTCTGCTCATTGAAAGTATGATGTTTATATGTTCATGACAGACAGAGATTTTAAGTTTTCCTGCTTTTCTTTTTTCTACAGAAAGCTCAGAAGGAGCCTCTAAATCTTCACAAGATGCCGATACTCTGATTTTCCCAGAGTGTCCATATATCTATATTTTCCTATTCACAAAAGTGGTCTCCTGCAAAACAATACCCAACCAGGGTTGGCTTTTTATCAGTTTACGAAACTTAGTCTCTCAAATGGGAGACTATAACAGTGTAATGTGGTGAGAGGGCCTACAATGTCCTACTCTCAGCTGTTTTGCAGCCTTATTCTGGTCTCTCCAGGGCAAAAGGATATTGATAACACAATGTTATCAGCCACTTTTAGGTTTATTGATGCGTACAAAGGGTTCAGGTTTGTGTGCAGGGTTTGTTTTCTGCCAAACATCACTCATCAGGTAGAGTTTCATCTGTCCAGAGCAGCTGTGTTAACATGTCGTGTTAACTCCATCTTACATCAGAGATCTGATTGTTCCTTATGTTCCTAAAAATCTCAATCTGCAGGTTTACTAGTGGTTCCTAGAATTTCTAAGAATAGAATGGGAGGCAGATCTTTTAGTTATCAGGCTCCTCTCCTGTGGAACCAGCTACCAGTTTTAGTCTGTGAGGCAGACACCCTGTCTACTTTTAAGGCTAGGCTTAAAACTTTCCTTTTTGATAAAGCTTATAGTTAGAGTTGCTCAGGTTATCCTGAGCTATCTCTATAGTTATGCTGCTATAGGCTTCGACTTCTGGGTGACATAGGGACCCCTATTTCATCATTCTACTTCATTCTATCTCTATTCTCCCACTCTGCAGAATCTGTTAGTGCCATCTCTAATGTTATACTCTCTCTGCTTTTTCTTTTAGTATCTTTGCCTTGTCTCTTTCTGTTTGGCTGTGACTCCATCCTGGAGCGAATATCAGCTGTGCTGCTGCCATCAACACCCTTGTTTATAGATGCTGGCAATCAGCCTGTTTTTTCAGTGTAGTCCTGTTTCTCTGACTGTGACTGGCTGGTTGTGCTCTCTTGATCCTCAGACATGGGAGCTGGCTCGGAGCTGGTCTGCCTGGCTGTGTGTTTCCTGGACGGGGCCGCCTTTTACATTTGCTTGTTGTATCTCTGCTTCTGTCTCCTTGAACCCCAGTCGGCCTCAGCAGATGGCCACTCACACTGAGCCTGGTTCTGCTTGAGGTTTCTTCCGGGTAAAAGGAAGTTTTTCCTCTCCACTGTCACTACAGGCATTAGTGAGTGAAATTGCATTTGAGTCAATGAGTTCATGCAATCAACTGTTTTTCCTTTGATAAAAAAACTTTTAATCAATTTAACTGTATGATCTGGTGAACTCTAAAGTGCCCTGAGATGACATGTTGTGAATTGGCCCTATAGAAATAAACACAATTGAAATTGAATTGTTACAAACTGTAAGCAGGGCTTCTTTAGGTTTTCTTTTAAACAAGTAAAACTAGTTTATATAGTACATGTCATATAAATTGCAATTCACCCAGATAGTTTCCATTGACCTGTCCTGCAGTTAATCCAGAGTCAGCATGAGCCTCATTGGTGCTTCGCTGATTGGTTTTCTCTTTTCCTTGTCAGTTTTATGAAGTCTGGGTTCTTTAAAAACAGTTTATATTTAAACAAGGAGTGAATTAACAATGACAATGACTGGCTGAGGGCACTTCTTGGGGCAGTTGTTGCACTAATTTCTCTTTAGCGGTGGATTACTACAGCCGTATGCCACACCTTTTGAATGTTTTGTATCAGCAAAACAAAAAAAAATCAATATTTTTTTGCACTTCTCAATTGAGCAGTACTTATTTGTTAGTATCTCACATAAGAGCCATATGACATGCAATAAAAGTTGTGGTTCTGGTGAACATGTCAAAATGTGGAAAGTTTCTTAGGAAATAGATACTACTGAGCTTTCAACTCTTAAGCCTTAATATTAATCCAATCTTTCTTTAAAGAAACTTTCTTCAGTCTGCCCTGCTCTCTCAAGTCATAAGCTCAGATTTGTGACATTTCAATATTCATCCTAATCACTTCAATCTACTGTGAACCCATTCAACTTAAGCTCTCACTCTAGCCAATAAACACAGGTCCCTTTCGCTCGCGTTCAAGCAAAGATTTCCCTTTATCGTCCTTATCTTTCCTATGGCTGCACACCCAAACTCACAGTATTCTTTTTTGCTCTCATTGTTTTCCTGCCGTTTTCCCTGCACCCTTCTTCAAATTTCTTTCTCTTCCAAAAGATTAAATCATAAACAAACCAAAAATGACTTTGTATGTGTAAACTATTTCTTTTCTATGTTGCAATTAACTACTAACAATGCCTGTTGATTGACAGTCACTCTTATCTTATGAGATTTTGAAATACTTCCATTTTCAGAATGTTTTTATTTCAGTCATATTAAAGGTTAGAAGACCTATTTAAGGCCACAGTTCTGCCTTTGGATTTAGGTCCAAACTTGGACATTTCCTCTCATGGATGCAATTTTTCTCAGTTTCTCTTTAGCAGTGTTGAATCATAAACACTGACTATAACTAAAACAAGCAAGTAAGTACATTTTGGTTCTTTAATGACTAAATGTGTTGTTGACGTACGGATGGAATAATTTGGGCTGGCTGATCACTCAAGGCTCAGCTGTGATACTTATTTTCTACATTTGGGTTAAATTGGCTCAAACAGTGGTTTGCTGGATTCTCAAAACCTTGGAAATAGTTTTAGAAAACTTTCAAGACTGATAAATAATCCCTTTGTTTTTCATCTCTTCTCTAATTTGTTTAGATCAGGATAGGGCTAGAATATATATTCAGAACCTCTATCACCATATATTTCTTCATTTCACTGAATAGGATATCATTTTCATACCAATATAAACAAAACAGAATGCGCCACAACAACATCCTGTACAAACATAAGATAATTATTTTTGCAATGTTTTGCAAAATTCTTCTATATAAAATTTTAGAAATACTGACCTAAGAAGCTAAACAATTAAAATTCTGAAGGCCTGACAGTTTCTGTGTAAGTGATTTATAAAGTTCTGACAGTAGAAATGTGTGTGTGAA